ATTGTCCAATCTAAATCTGCCCTGGTCTAATTTAAAACCCATCGCCCCTCATCCTGTTGCTACACCCCCTTGTGAACAGCCCCTCCCCAGCTTCCCTGCAGCCCCTTCTGAGAATCATACAATCATAGAACAATTCAGGCTGGAAAAGACCCTTGGGATCATCAAGTCCAACCATTAACCCTACACTACAAGGTCACCCCTAAACTGTATCACCCAGCGGCGGGATGTGCAGCCGTGGTCGCACTCGATGGATGTCTGACCGACTGCGCCGTCATGTGAAATGATCCTCCTGTTCCTTTGGCCAAAAGGCGGCAGGTACTGGCATAAACGGTCATTTGTTGTATTTCCTGATTCTGTCCTGGAAAATCTATATCTGCTTCCCTGAACCCCACAGGAAAACAGTGCCCATGCAAAGTGGTCTCCTCGCTGGGTGCCGGCTGGGAGCTGGGCTGCTTCTGTAGAGCTCCAGGAACAAATTTGCTCACAGCAATTTTTTTTCAAGTTTTTTTTCCTAAATGCGTGGTGCCGGGCATATTAGTTTGCAGAAACTCTTGCAGCTGGGAGTGGCAATAGCACAGCAGAAGTTCCCATGTTCTGGTGGTTCGGTGTGGATACACAGAAAATTGCCTTACTGGATCTGCCTGTCAGAGCCCGCAGCTGAACCTGCCCCCAGTGGGTGCAAGGGTTTGGAACTTCGACCCAGCGCCCTTCTCTTGCTGCAGGGCTCCTCCTGCTCTTCTGAGGCACGTTGTTCCCTTCTCTTTGCCTTTCCTTCACCTGTTCAGTTTGTGAGCTTTAATTTTTACCTTCTGCACAGCTTTTCCTGTTCATGACATTTATAAGGCAGGGGAAGCTCAGCAGTCTCCCATTTGCTCGAGACACCTCTTCAGTCTCTGGCATTTACCTCCGGGCTCACCCTAGAACTCCCCTGGGGTTTATTATAAATATTAATGGCTTTGGTGTTATGAAGCTAGCCCAAGCAGCTCCTGTGTGTTCCTGGGTCCTCTGGTCCCCTGGCCAGGGATGCCTTCATTGTCACACCTGTTCGGTGGTGCACACCTGGGTAAAACGGGCAGTCCTGGCTTTTCTCACTTGTAGCTGAAGATTCAAGCTACTCCCTTCATGCCAAAAAAACCTGGGTATTTCTAGGTCCCTATTAATTGGTCTTTGTCTAATGAAGCAGCTGTATACACCATGCAGCGTTGGCTTTCTCTTTCAGTTAGTGTTATCTACAGACAATTAAAGGTTTTTTTGAAGTCTATCTGAGCCTTGGCATGCCTCACATTTAGCTGTCTGAAGCTATTTTCCACCAAACAGGACAGCAACTGTGACTGAGAGGTTGTTCTCCAACCCCTCAAATGTTTTCTGCAAATGCTTTTCGATGACTAACGTCTGCTTGCAAGAAAATCTACTTTAGGCCCGCAAAGGTGCCTGATGGAAAAAGAATCCTGGACTAATGAGCTCAGGCAATCAAGCCGAGTTTGGTATTAAACATCTTACCTTCCCAAGCAAGCAAAAAAAAAAAAAAAAGCCTGTTCTGATGTCTCTGAGCCCATTTTGTAGTCCAGGGAAGGAGGGAGAGGCAGAAGGGCAGCCAAACCTTTATTTTTAATGAAGATTTCTGTTTGTTCCTGCAGTTGAAGTGAAAATCGAAGTTGTGATACCTGAGAAGGAAAGAAGCAAAGAGGAGATGTCGCCCAACGGGAGAGCCAGCCCCCTGATCTACAAAGTCAACGGGACTGCCCGGCATTATCACCTCGAGGAGCATCCCATGGCCAGCAATCCCTACCACAACCCAAAGGACGTGGTGGAAGCGTCCGTGTGCCACGTGAAGGACCTGGAGAATGGACAGTAAGTGCCTAAAATATTGGCGAGTAAACCTTGTGTAAACCCAAAACACCCTCCTATCTTGTCCTTTAGAGTTTCTCGAGATGTTCATTCAACTTAGTAAAATACATATGTTTTTTCCATCTAAAAAATGACATCACAGGCAAGTGACAACTGCTTTTACCAAAATCACGGAATTGTTGAGGCTGGAAAAGACCTCTGAGATCATCAAGTCCAGCCTATGACCCTACACCAAAGGTCTGCTCTTCCTTGCATGGTCCACCCTGGGACTCGTCTTAGAAAGATGGGATGTTCTGCAGAAGAATTTCTCAACAGGCTCTGCTCAGCCTTTGTTAGACAATCCTGGCTTTTTCAATAGGTCTATATCCTTGGCAGTTTTACAGCAGCGTGAGCAGGGCATGGGTGAAGCTGATGGGGCACACTGTGTGCTCCAGCACTGCTGTGCTGCCTTGCTCTTCTAGATGAGCTCGTCTCTGTCCCTTTGCTCTTTCACCAAGAATGCAGTTCACCAATTTTTTTCTAATGGCAACACATTGTGACTCTGTATATTTTCACTACCCTGGTTTTTCTGAAATCTAAGCACCTGCCCTGGTCGCCGTGCTTTATGAGGTGGTGTTTTCTTTTCTGGGGCATCTTTTCTGCAACATGTTCCATTAGTCTGATGGCCAACGTCTCAGTGGGCTCTGTCCTTATGTGAAAGAAAACGGAGCTTGAAGTAGCTTCTGTTCTAGTGAGGGAGTGATGACAGGCGCTTCGGACACAGTGGGAGTCTGGAAGCTAATTGCTTTAAATTGAATGATTGCTTGTCATAGTATTCTGGAATAATCCAGGTACAAGAAGCTACTTTGTGCTACGATTCTGGCCCTGGTACGCAGAGAGGGTTTCCAGGATGCCCCTCTCAAGGGACAGGGCAGTGCATGGCCACAGCAGCCATGCCGTGGCACTCAGGTTCGGGCACCTCTGTGTGAAGTGAAGGCTGCAGGCACAAGGGATCCTTTCTGCCCACCTTTCTACCTCTCAGCAAAAAGATACTGGAGGAGAAGCTCGGGCACTGCTGTGCCCAGCCAGCTTCCCAGCAGGGCCCCAGGCAGAAGACAGCTAGAAGCTCTCTCAGCTCCTGAGCAAAGGTCTTTGGAGGCCGGAGCTGAGATTTAGCTGGTGCTTCCTGAGTGAGACAACAGGACAAATTCCCCACGAAGTAAATAGCTGAGTGGGGAGCGGTGCAGGGTAAATCATCCTCTCACCCGCTCTGGGGCGAGTGTGGGATCGGGAGCCCTGAGGTGGTCATGTGCTGCCTTGGGGACACGAGGCATTGTTTTTTGACTCTTGGATCACACAGTTCCAGCTGTAAACTCTTTCACTTATCTTATCTTCCCGTAGAGTTATGGCTGTCATTTAACTGCAGGTTTTATCTGAAGTGCTGCACAGCTGAGGAATGTGGTAGGACTTGTCCTGCCCTATTCCCCTGGTGCTGAGGGGAGGACCTCCCAAGTGCCAAGTGTCCTGCATGGGCAGGGAGCAGGGCTGCATCGCTTGGGAGAGGAGCTGATGATTTCCTGGGACAAAACAGCTCCCAGAGGCTGGCATGATGAGCTCTGGTGCTGTTTGCAACAGGGGTGACAAGGAAATGGAGCATTTGCCGTGACTCTAGCAGGAGAGCCAATGCAGGTAGAGCAGGCACCTGCACGAAGACCTGCCCGAGGTGGTTTTGAAGGTATTACAGGGGTGCTGGTGGACTGACCCCTGCTCTCATCTCCATGGCTGTGAAGCAGAGAGCAGGTTAAACATCAGTATCCTGGGCGCAAGTGCCAGGATAGAGTTAAGATATTGTCCAGAGAGGAATGAGCATGCAAAGTGAGTCCCATTCTTCTGAGACCCTGGGAATTACTGTGCGTGAGCAGGATTTGGGGGTCACACATGGCCAGTAGCTTTCTTGAGCACGTGGGGTTTGCTGTGTGCACAGGGGTGCATTCCGTACCCGCAATGCAACGTGTCAGGCTTGCTGTAGAGGTGGTCCACTTCATGCAATGGAGAAAAACGGGATTTCCAGATAAATGTCTAGTTGTGCAGGGACAGGTTTTCTGGCTGGAAGAGGGGAAGTTTCCAGGGAACAGCAGCTCTGTGCTCCACACCCAGCTCCCTGCAAAGTGAGGGCTGTCTTCCCATCTCTCTGCTTTCCTCCGTGATTAGCTGGAAGGCTCTGCCATAGGTAAGGAGCTGCTGATAATTGCGTTGGAAAGTGCCTCTCACAGGGCCATGGAATGCTCAGAGTGTATCGGAGCTGTTGATTGGAAAGGGAGCACCTGAGCTGTGAGAAGAGGAGATGAGGTGAGGACAGGATGAGCATCTGGTGGAGACATAGTGAGAGCAGAGAGTAAACAAGTGCTCAGAGCAGAGAGCAACATCAGTCTCCCTCAGCGATGCCTGGGCAGCCTGCCCTGCCCCTAAGGCTGGAAAACCACAGAAATCCCCTTGGCAAAGATCTGAGCAGATGGGGGAGTGGGGGTCTCAGCGCTGGAGCCCCTTGCATCCCCATCTCCAGGCTCTGCAGAGAGGAGCGGTGGGATCCTCCTGGAAACGATGAACGGCTGAGAGACTCGTGTCAGCCTCATGCAGCCTCCTAAAGGCAGTCAGGTGCTGTGTACGGGCTGCAGGGCTGGGAAACTTGTGGATAAAAGCTGGGGAGGTGTGACCCAGAGAGCCTGAAAAATGCAAACCTTTGTGTGCAAAGGGTTCCTGCTGTGCTAATCGTGCTTTTGTCCAGGGTACCATGCAAGCTGCTGTGGTCTTTTAAAGAGTACCTGAATCTCTCCAGGGGATGGCTCGAGGGTTCACTTGGCTCCTGCACGCAGATGGGGCTGGGTGCCAGCAGCACCAGGGACACAAAGCCCCTCGGTGGTGTGGAGCCAGGGCCAGCAGCCCAGGGCAGGCAGGCAGGTCTGTGAAAACGGCTGAGGAAAACAAGCGAGGAGGTCACAGCGAAGTATCTGCTGTCCTCAGGGTTTTATCAGGAAAAGGTGACCCACGTGGTTGACCCTGGGATGTGGCCACAACCAGAGCAGGGAGGCAGGCCCCAATGGCGGAGTACACAAAGGGTCAGAATTGCCTCCTTCTGGTTTTCAAGTCTCAGAAATGTTCTATTTGCTCTGGGTGAGTGAATGCAAGCCTGGCAGGAACCAGCTGAGCTGCTGGGGCCAGCAGGGAAGGTGATGTCTCAGTAAAAACCCGTTTGGTTTCTCGCTCTCGCTGTGTGCTGAAAAGCTTTATTCTGACCCCCTGGACTTGGTTGGAGACCACTAGCCTCTTCTCAAGCAGCTGGGGAGGTGCTTGGGGCCACCTCTTGGCACAGTGAGGGGTGAAGGAGTTGCTACTCAGTGGCCCAGCTTGGATGTGCCCCAGGCTGGGCACAGCAGCCACCTCCAAAGCCGGTGACAGAAGTGACCCACACCTGTAAGTCACCTGGAGCTGGTTGGGAGCAAGCTGAAGGAGGTGGCGGAGTCTGGTGGGAGCAGGGCTGGGGTGCAGGGCTTGGGGTGGTGTCCCCTGCCAGGAGGATGCTTTGCCATGTGTTTTCCATGCTCCTCCTCCCCAGGATGCGGGAAGTGGACCTGGGCTGCGGGAAGGCTCTGCTCATCAAGGAGAGCGGCGAGTTCCACGCCGTGGGACACAAGTGTCCCCATTACGGGGCTCCACTCGTCAAAGGTCAGTCTGCAGCACAGGACTAACCACAGCCAGCGAAGCGTTGGTAGAGGACAGCCCCGCGTCCACCCTGCCGTGCTGCCGGGCACGGGGCAGCACCCTGACACCCCCCCACCTCATCGGGGTGTCTTCTTCCCCAGCAAGGCGTGGGTGGAAACCTCCTGGGAGTACTGGCGACCCCAGCTCGCTGGGGCTGCTTTGGGTGACTTTGAAGACAAAACATCACGGACACCATTAAATTTGGCTTCTGTTTCATTCTTCAGCTGGAGCTGAACCTCTCTGGATGGTATGAAACAGCTGCAGCTCGCTGGGCCCGCGCAGTGCCTGATTTCATGGGGCTTTTCGTAGTGTTCTGCTTATCAGTTCCCACTCACTGAGGAGTTGAAAAAATGCCTTAAAGGGGAAAAAAAAATCACCTTATGATTTTTCAGGCTTAAAAACCCCCACAAAACCACTGTTCCCTGTAAATCAAAATCCTGTTTGGGGGGGAATGGGGAAGCTCTTTGGGCTGCTGGGATCCTTTCAGTAGCGAAACGAAACGTTACTGATGTCACTGATTGCAGTGGGATGAGGTAAAGCGGTTTCCACACCTGACACTTAAAAAATATGCATCCTGGCATTTTCTCAGCTCGGGCATCCCTGGGATCGGTCACTGGCACAGGAGTCTCGCTGGGGAACACAGGGTTTGCTGCAGAAGTAGGTGCAGGCACTGTCCCTGCCTCCCCATGTGTGGTGAGTGACGAGATGTGGCACTGCTGTGCCTTGACAAGTGAAGGCACAAGCTCAGGACCCATCCAGCATGGCCAAATTGGAGCTGTTCGCTCTGCCCTGGTGTTGCGAGCCAGCTCTGTCAGGGAAAATTGAAATCCAAGGTGACAGCCTCTGAGAAAGCACTCGTGAGGGGTGGACTCCTGGCTTTGGGCATGCCCTGTGCTTTCCTGGTGGTGCGCAGGATCCTCACTGTGTCAGGATCTGTTCTGAAACATACTTGCTCTGAATAAGTGATGCTCTACTTGAGGTGATGCTTGCTCCAGGTGCTGCTGGGGCTTGTGGAGGGGACGACAAGACCTGCGAGGCTGCAGCCCCAGCCAGAGAGTGAGCTTATACTCCCAGCAGAGCTTTGTAGCTGTGCTCAGAGGTGAGGGAAGGGCATGGTCAGCAAGGAGCACATTTTAGACGGGATCCCTCGTACAGGATCCAGCTGGTGACTGTGCTCAGCCTCTATCCCAAACGGCGGGATCAGTCCAACGTGCAAGTTAAGAGAGTTCCACATCAAGTAGCCAAGATGCTGCTGACAATTCAGATCCACAACAGCTGCCTTGTGTCCCTTAGGAGAGGTGACACCTCTGGGTTAAGAAAGCGTCACGGGGATGTGCGTTGCATGGAGCAGCACAGCTCCTGCCGCTGCAGGACGGCCTCGGTAGCAGCCTTCAGGAGCTCAGCCTCACTCAGCAGTGGCATTCACATTGTCAAGAAGACAGAGGCCACCATCACCAGGACAGCGGGAGGGAGACCTGGCCTCTGCCAGCCCTGCCCTGGCCGGGTCACAGCAGCTCAGTCTCAGCGGGCTGCAGGCAGGGACGGCGGCAGCTGCGGGGCAGCACCAACCCTGCTCTGCTAGGGGTGTTGTCCAAAGGAAGAGTGCGCTGTCCCTGGCACGGAGCTTGCTTCAACATCAGCACAGGTGACATAGAGGACTTTCCTGGTTTGGACAGCTTACCCAGGTTCCAGGTGAGACTTTTGTTCTGGCAGCAGCAGAGGAAATCATAGAACGGTTGGGTTGGAAGGGACCTTTATTGATCACCTAGCCGCAGGCAGGGGCGTGTTTCCAACCAGCCCAGGTTGCTCCAAGCCCCGTCCAGCCTGGCCTTGGACACTTCCAGGGATGGGGCTGCCACAGCTGCTCTGGGCAACCTGTAAGTCTGAGACAGAAACTAGGTTTTACACTGACTGTCAGTGTGTGGTTGATCTGAGCCAGGAAACATCCCACAGCCTTGAGCTGGGGTGAGCCCTGCCATGGCCAGAGCCACTCTCACGGAGGACCTGCTGAGGTCACTGCTCTGCTCGTTAGTTGTTGCACAGAGGGACTCATCACCCTCTTCACGCTGGAGGCACTCGCTGTCCTGCAAACCACGGCTGTTCTGTTGCCCTCAGGTGAAGATCGAGAAGGAGAAGGTGTACATTCGAGCAAGCAAGCAGGTGAGGGGCCACCAGCATCCCAAAGTCAAGGCCCATGCTTTTGCTTTTATCTCGGGGTGGGGGTGGTGGAAATGCTTTACTTTGGATTCTCTGGGAGGGGAAGCAGTGCCTGAACAGAAGGATGCATGAGCATCCAACATGGCTAAAGCAAAGGTCCACCTAGTCCAGGTCTGACTCAAGCAGCAGCTGAAGTTCGTATGAAGGCATGAGTTGAGAAGGGCAGAGGTGTTGTGCCCCCCGATCCTGCGTGTACCTCCCCAGCCTCCCTGCCACTGCTGGACACCTGAGCTGAGGTGGTCAGGAGGTCTTGCTTTGACCAGAACTTGTCCTATTTCCTTCAGCTCATAGCAACTTCTAATTTAGTTGGCCCGTGGAAACAGGCTTGTTCTACCAACCTTTTGGCCTTGACTACTGGGTCTGAATGACAGAGGTCATCTCTCTTGAGGCTGGACATCAGCTCCTTTGGCTGGGGAGGAATCTGGTGCGTGGACAGGGAGGGCTCTCATGCCCCCAGATGGGAGGCAGAATGAAGCCCTTTCAGGCCACTGCTATCCTTCTTTCCATGAAAAGCCATCTTCTGATGCACATTTGCAGGTACACGTGTGTAACCCAGCAGCTCAGAACTGGCCAGACCCTTGCAACACTTGGGTTAGATCCAGAGAGGTCATCTGAATGGCAGCATTTCAGCTCCAGATGATGAGGGTTACATATGGTGAGGAAGACTGAGCCTCTTGCCTCTGCCAGGAATGGGTTTTACTGACGATGGCTGGAAGCAGGGGGTCTGTGCAGCAGGACTGCAGTGGCGTAGGTCATAGAACCAGAGAATCCTCTAAGATCATCAAGTCCAACTGTCAACCCAGTACTACCATGACCACTAAATTATGTCCCGAAGTGCCACATCTAAGCGTTTTTTGAACACCTCCAGGGATTGTGACTCCACCACTTCCCTGGGCACCCTGTGCCAGTGCCTCACCACTCCCAGTAAAGGCATTTTTCCTTATATCCAGTCTAAACCTCCCCTGGAGCAACTTGAGGCCATTTTCTCTCATCCTATCACTAGTAACTTGGGACAGGAGACCAACACTCCCCTCACTACCCGCTCCTGTCAGGGAGCTGCAGAGAGCAATGAGGTCTCCCCTCAGCCTCCGCTGTTCCAGCTGAACAGCCCCAGGTCCATCAGCCGCTCCTCAGCACACTTGCTCTCCAGATCCTTCCCCAGCTCCGTTGCCCTTCTCTGGACCCTTTCCTGCACCTCGATGTCTTTCTTGTACTGTGGTGCCCAAAACTGAACCCAGTGCTCAAGGTGTGGCCTCACCAGTGCCACGATCACTTCCCTACTCCTGCTGGACACACGTAGGTCCTTGGGTGTGCTCTGGTAGGCTGGACAATTCCATCAACTTCTTTGGCTATCAGAGATATACAAGCTCTACTCAAGTGCAAGATGAAGTTCCTGATAGGACTTCTGAATGTCCATCTCATCTGCTGATTGCAGAGTTGCACAATAACACACCTGGGCTGCTTTTTCTATCTTTTTATTCCTGGCTCTGTGTACCTGTATGAATTTGCAGAAGACGATGGATTTATTTTTTGTTTTGTATGTGGTAAGGGGGAAGTGCAGTGCACTGGATGGTGGAAAGATATGTGGATGAGCATGGGTTTGGAGTCCTCACAGGGTACAAGTTGTTCGCTTTCTGACCAAGCTGGTTTATGACACTAG